CTCTCTCTTTATAGTGATCTTTTGTTTTACTTGTGGAGGAACATGAATTTCGGGGTATTTTCGAGAGTGACTTTGGGATTTTTTTTTTTTTTTAAATCAGGGATTTTTCAGTTTTCAAACAGGGAACACCAGAATTCCTGCCAGGGAGGCAAGTGGCAGGACCCAGGCAGAGGAGCCTGCTCAGAGCTGGCACCTTGGACCCAGCTGGAGGTGGCTGACCTCCTGGCCAACTGGGGCTAGGAGATCATGCTTTGACAGCTCAAAGCAGGCCCCCCACACTGTGAACATCTTCCGGGCGATAGCTGCCCAGATGGCCAGGCAGAAGGCACACATAGCAGTACTGCCACACAAAGGCCAACTCAGCAGCCACAGCCCACTAGCAGCTGTCCCAGAGGGGCAGATGCCTCTACTGGCTGTGGAGTCCCCATCCGGGTCTGGCAGGTGCGCAGCTTTGGGACCACATGCTGTTGCATAGCCAGGCAGCAGCCCCCACTGCCAGACTGCTGCAGTGGGTAAAGGGTGCAGGGAACTCTCAGGGCTGCTTCAGCAGTCCAGCTAGCATAAGGGGTAGCGTTCCCATGTATGAATTGGCTGGGCCCCAGAAGCTCCTGAGAGCAAGCAGCCCTGAGCTACTTGAGAGGGCAGCTTTTTGTACCACTGGGGCCAGGACAAGGCAGTTTTTTTATACTGCTGGGGCCAGGACAGGTGCTGGCTCCAGGCTCTACCTCTCCCTGGCTGCAGATCTAGGAGAAGCTAGGCAGGGTTATTTTGCCCCAAGTGGTACAATTTGCCCCACACCAAAGCACATGTCCGGGCAAAAAGCCCCGGCTCAAATTTGCACCGCTTCTATTTGAGCTGCTGCAAGCACACATGCTTGCATGTGTGGATGCGTCTACACAGGGCTAAGAATAATTTTGACTGAAAACGCAGATATTCAGCATCACTATTTCTAAACCCTGGGGCTACTTGAGGTCTCATAACAAAGCTTCATCATTATCAAGCATGGGACACACGAGTCTCTCACAACACTTCTGCCTCCACCTCTTCCTTGGATGTACCACTGCTATGGATGAATTGGACCTCCAGTACAACCAATTTCACGTGCCAGGACTTCAAGGGCATCAAGGACCCAGTGGTTTGAGGGAACAGAACAGGGCATGTTTGGTGACCAAACTATTTGGCCTACCAGGGGAACGCATCTTTGCGTTAGGCCCAGCGTATCCAGACCATATCCAAACACACAATGGTCCTAGGTAACCCAGTTTTCCCTCACGACTTTGCCCCTCAAAATGTTCTAGGCTGGCTTGACAAAGGACCTATGGGAGTCTCTCTGCAGTGCCTTGAGGAAGACTTGAAGATGTCTCCCCTATTTTTTAAGTGGCTAAGATAATATCTGCAGCAAATCTAAAATCTGCACAGCTGGTAGGCAACTTCAAAGCAGACAAAGTTGTGGATACATTGTTGCATTGCTACCAGCACTGTTCTGCCATGGTTTGAGACCACCACTCTTTCTTCCCCTTTGACTCTGAGGAAACAGACATTTTGGAAAGAGTACAAACAGTGAAGAATTAAAAGTTGCCATTCAGCCCTGACTAACTGAAGCGGCAAGGCAACCAATGAAATACCAACAATTAGGCAACAGAGAACCCTAGCCATCCAGAATAAATGCACAAGAAATGAGGTAAAGCTGCCAACAAGAAAGCAATTGAAATAACTCAGGCCTGCCTTGAAAGGAGAGACCTAGTAGATATCCTATGATCTTTCAAGATAAAACTGGAGGAGTCACTGGAGAGGTGCAGCTCCTTCACTGACCTTGCTCAGAAAGAAAAACTGCCTGTAGTAACAATGGGAATACTTGACCATCATAGAGGAGAGGCTAGTCCTCCATGCTGCTACCATTGCCTAACCAGAATAGTACATGAGTTTGAGGAAGGAAAGGCTCTCTTTGCTTCTGCTAGGGAGCCAAGCCCACAGAAATAAAATCCTGGTGGAGTACATCTTTAGGAACATTTTGTGGTATCACTCAAAGCCAATAAAAATAAGCCACATCTATCCTCATTCTAAACAATAAACAACTAAGTCAAGAGCATGACATTTAATGAGTTGCATGACTTCATTCTAACAGTTATTTTTCCTAAGCATTTCAGTATGCACCATCACCTTCACTTCTTTAGACTTAATGCAACTTCAAAGTATAACAAAGATATTACTAGTTTATTTAATTTTAGTATACTACTGAATGTTATAAGAAACCAACATAAAAGTATCTACTTCTCAATGAATCATAAACATTAAGTGCAGATTTTGTGAGGCCAACCCTTGTGGGAGTCTACGGAAGCCCAGCCAGGTTCTTCTACAACCTGTTTTTTAATGCCCAATAATAAATAAACAAACAAACAAACAGGACAACTGGGAAACATCTACCTTGTATGGTTCACTGAAGAGGGAGTAACTTGTGTTAAATGTGCCATCTTCCTGCTGTGTTTCCTGATTTCTCCTTTCCCATTCTTTCCTCCGCAGCACATTTCTGTCTGGTTCATAGACACTGCATCAAAAGAAAGAGTAAGATTTTTTTAATTAAAGGGCAATATATTAACTAATGTTAATCTAAGTGAAGAACTGGTTCACAGACAGATGGCAAAGATAACAAGAACATGAATCAGATTAATGCCAGTCCAATCAGGCACTGAAATCTCAGGTCTCTGGGAATGCCAGTGCTTTCTTCACAATGAGAACAGATAATTAAATTCTTAAGAAAGGAGGGGAAAAAAAAAAATCATAGAGCAGGATCTAATCTGTACTGAACTTCTCTGCCTGAAATGTGACAGAGGAAATATCTAAGTAACTTTGACAGAAAACTGAAAGTACTCTTAAAACATATGGTAATTACACCTATGGGTAAATAGAAATTATGAACATATTTCCATTGGTGACATATCCTCCATGTGTTATATGAAAATGCTCCTTTTTTACATGAATGTTTCTGTAGTGATTTTTTCATTAACTAGCTCTCTGAAGAGCAGTTAAAGCTTCATGCTGCAGTAGTTCCACAGTTATGCTCCTTCTGATCTCTGTTAATCAGCCAAGTCATGAAACTACTAGTGAATCAATTTCTCCTTCTGACTGATTTGACACCATCACAACTTCAAAGTCCAAGTAAATTAATATTGGTGAGATTCGAGAAGGGACATCTGAAGAGTGAAAGATAACATTGCATTGTACAATTGTGTTATTTTTGGAAATAAATAGCATCAGGCTTCACCATGGCAAGACCAAAATCAAACATTCCTTTTTTTCTAAGAAGTTATTTTAAAGAATGATGCCTAAGACTTGAGGAACCTTCTATTCATGTTGACTCAAAACAATATATATAGATTTGCATATTTCAGTGTCTTGAGTTTTATTTGCATCACAAAATAAACCTAAATGCCCAAACAGATTTGCAAACTGTTTAAAAATAATTTGAGAAAATGGATGTTGTCATATTTTGCTTAACCAGCTAATGCTTTTCTTTCTTGTGCTGTAGTTTTGTAAAACAGAAAATATGTTAGCATCATGTAAGTGTACTGGACAGTAATAAAATAAATGTATTTCTAACTAGCTGTCCAGTTAGGCAAAATACACTCTAAATCAGCTGTCCAAGTGACTTTACTTAATATGCCTCAAGCAAGACTATTAAAATGCCTAAGGCTATTTAATTTTAATTTAAGATTTGAGCGCACTGAAAACATCCAGGATATCTAGACACTTTATTTTCAAATAATTTCTTAGCAAAGACCAAAGGATGCTAAAATCCCATGCCTGTTTGTGGACCTATGTAATATGAGATAAATGTTACAACCTCACTCCTAATGGACAGGTGTTCAACAGTTTCCCAGCTGACATCTTTGATACATTTGGATAAAGGACAGATATGAACATCAGAACATTGAGATTTAACAGTGCTCTGCTTTAAAGAAATAACCTCTGTAAAATGGAATCAACTTATAGTAGTGTCAAGAAAGTGTGAAAAGCGGCTACCTAAGATGTACCTTCTTTTTTCCATAAGGTACTTTATCAATTTCATTTTTCATAAATGATATACTTAAAAACAATCCATGTTTTTTGGAATATACTAAAGAGATAATCTTGGAATAGAATTATGGGCACCAACAGAGAAGAGTTGATCACAACATGACTATTTCAGTGGGGTTTGCCTCATACAGAAGATTATGGGTGAAATTATAAAATAAATATTACACACATGTGTAACACGGGCCTGCTCGGGGCCAATCTCCATGGCCCGCCCACCTGTTCTTGGGCCAACCACCCGCCCTCTCGTCCACCACGCCTTGATGTTGATTGATTAATTAATAGATGTCAATTAAGTGGGAGGCTGCCCATTTTGCTGCCCCGATGCCAGGGGGTGCTCTCTGCAGCTCCTTTCCTCCACTACACCGCAGCCCAAGCCTCGCAGATGGCATCTAGGTGTTCTTGTTATCACCGGCCCCCACACTGGGCCCCAGAATCCTCCTAACAGGACCCCTCCAAGATCCCTCCATTCAGGTGGCCTACCCACCTTCATTCAGGCTACCTAGCTCCCTGAAAATATTTTCCCCTCTCGGGTGTGGTTCCCCCAGGACCTTTGGCTACCAGCCCTGGCCCACCTCCAGACCAGTTGGGACCCCAGGCCCCCGGCTCTTGGGCATCCCTCACAGTGGGCTTCTGGCCCTTTTGACCATCCTGGTCCTGGCCCCAGCATGGGCCAGTTGAGGGTACTCTCTCGATCAGGTTGAGTCTCTAGCTCTTCTCTCTCTCCTGGGGTCTGCCCTCTGGGCCCTACAAACACAGGGGTTACCCACCCAGTGGTGGGGGCTAGGGGTTAAGGCGCCCCAACCCGCCTTTCACCAGGGTGGTAACTGGCCTGGCATTTCCTGGGGCTCCTGCGCCACTGAGAGCCCCACCAGGCCACCCACTCCCAGCAGGATGCAGTTTTAGGCCATGCCCAGGACCAGGAACTTCCTTACCATCCCCTATAGCGCCTCCCTTACCTCCAGATGATCTCAGCAGTCCTCTGGCCAGGCTATGTTGTTGCCTGGCCTTCAGCAGCCGAACTGCCCTGTTTATATAGACAGCCCCTGACTCAAAATGGCTGCCCTCATCAGGGACCTGGTGGCTGCCAGCTCCAGGCCCTTAAAGTGGCAGGCACACACAGTGCCCTGTTATAGATGTACAACTGCTTTGCTGATCTAAATCTTTCAATCTAAGATATACAACTGCTTTGCCAATTGTGTTACACTCTCTGTAATACCCTAATAAGGTAAGCGTTTTTATAATATCAGTCTACTAAAGTTAGTTCTCTGCTAATCAGATAAAAGTTGCTAAATGTGTTAACTCCGAATGGTAGGGATCTCATTACATTTCCTTTGCAAGCTACTTTTTCCCAGTTTTAAACCCCAAACCTCTTTGAGAAGCTTTCTAGTTGGCATCTACTCTGCTACCAGTTGTTCATATAGGTATCTCCTTCTGAATTAGTTATAATTCTGGTCCCTAGCCAGTTTCTGAAAAGCAAACAAATGTTCTCTCTGCCACTCAGACATTTTTTTTACATCACCAATATGATTCATTTCTGAAATGGAGGTTCTCTTCTTCTCCCTCTTATTTGATGGAAAAATGAATCAAAACACAGGACTTCCAGATCCTTGACACCCATCCTAAATTGGGTATTGACTGGCATTCACTACTTGCAACAATTTAGAATGATTATGGCAACAACAAAAGAGTGTTGCTATGCCTAAAGCACCATTTATAAACAGTAACTTAGTAAGAGCTGCAAGCTGAGTGTTGTGTTCCTTTGTTAATAGCAGATGGCAAAATCTCTAGCGTTCATAAGATTGCTTCTTATTTGCATGAACGTTAAAGGAATCACATTTCCTTGAGTGTATGTCACAAAATGTATTTATTTATTTTGGTTCAAAGAGAATGCTGCCAACTGACACAATTTTATTTATTGCAAACACTTTAGTTAATGGAAATTGAATCTTTTTAATAGTTCCTTTTTTGATTTTGTAATTTGAAAGCAACCCAAAATGTGCATATACCTTCGTAGGCGTTTATACTGTATTCATATCCCAGGAGTCTGAACTGTATGGCACAGATTTGCACATATCACGAGAATATTCCCATAAAGGTTCTCAACAATATATTGATGTAGCTTTCAGAGCAAGAGCCAAAATGTTCAGATAATTAGGCAAGACTGGACAACCAAATTGCAGACTGCCGCAGATCTTCTCATATCAATTCATTCCATCTTATAGAATAAGATCAAACTCTGAAAGAATGCCTTTAAATATTTCACAGACCATGCATGATTATTTTTTAAAATGCCATACCATTATGAAGACAAGGTTCCTTGGGTGAATTTGATATCTTTTATTAGACCAACCCAAATAGTTGGAGAAAAGTTATTAAGCAAGCTTTCGAGTTCAAAAACCCTTCGTCAGGCTAAGGAAGTTTCAGCAGTTGGTATGACTTGTCATTCCATCCAGGAAGAGCACACAACAACTGCTGAAACTTCCTTAGCCTGACGAAGGGTTTTTGAACTCGAAAGCTTGCTTAATAACTTTTCTCCAACTATTTGGGTTGGTCTAATAAAAGATATCAAATTCACCCAAGGAACCTTGTCTGCCTATGTCCTTAGACCAACACGGCTACAACCTAAACCCCTGATACCATTATGAATTCATTCTTAGAAGATATCAGTTAAAGTGTGAGTTCCAGGCCCAATGGTTATATGAATGAATGAATGAATGAATGTTATATTTATAGAATGGGTAATATTATTGGCTGCACACACACATCTAAGTTGACATGGGCGACTGGTGCCGCCTTAGTCAGGGGGGGACATGCCCCCCCCCCCCCCCACCCCGTCCCCCCCCGAGGGTCCCCTGTGGCTGATCCCAGCCAACTGGGCGGGGGGGGAGGTTCCCCTTCAGCCGATCCCATGATGGCCAATTGCTGTGGCCAATTACTGCAGCCGCTTCCAGGAGTGGCTGGGGGGA